AGAGATGTGTACATTTCCTCCCTGCTGACAGGAAGGAAGCATGCCACAGTTCTCCAGCCAATCCAGATGGTAAAAGCAAATTAACTGAAAAATAAGTTTTTATAAACTAGTTAAGTGCTCCTCTTTTCATTCTAGGCTGACAAGTCACTTTCTGATGAATCACTACCACCTTTCCATCAGATGTACAGGCAAAATCCATATGTGATTGGTGGCGGTGGGGGAGACCAGCAGAAAGATGGGAATGTGCTTCCTTGATTTGCCCCCTCTCAAATTGAGCCTTCCAGTATTACTTCACAGACACTGAAGTTTAAGCTAATGCTTCTAAACAAGATTTTTACTTCATTAAAAAAAAAAAAGACATAAAAAGATATGACTCAATACAATAAATATCCTTCCAATAACACCACATCAGCAACCTCCAAGATACGAAAGGTTGTTTATTCTTACTGCAGATTTCATGCAATTAAAAAAATGAAACTGTTTGTAAATTCAGGAAGAACAGTAGAACAGCCAGCATACTGCATCGTGAAAAGCCCAGGGGAAAATGTGTTGCTTTTCAGAAACAAACTGATTTGACTTTTTTTTTCTTTCTACTTTTACTAAAGAAGTAAAACTGTAAAACAAATGTTAAATCAGTTTTTCTCATTTCTTAGTATAATCACAGAACCACAGATTCAGGCTAAATTTGAGAAAAATATAATGTTCTTAATCATTAATCATATACATACCTCTGGCTTTTAACAGGATCATAGTACACTTTGGCCAAACCATTTCCTGTACCAACCATGATCTGGTTCAGCTTGGGATGCCAAAGGCAACGCACAACACTCTGAAATAAAGCAACATATTGATAGTTAGTTGGTAATTTATCTGGACTTTAGAATTAATATTCATATTGTCAAACAGCAGATCAAAGTTATACTGTAGCATGAACAAGCTTGAATACATTAATTAATATGTGAATATATTAATGAATAAAAGTGCCTCTCCAGAGCAGAAAATAGTGTAAAAGAAGTGGCAATACACTGATGTAGGCAGAGAAGGAAGTACAAATTGGTGGCAGTGTGTTAACTAGTGGTTTCCACAGGCTAACTGCTTCAGGGTCTTCGTGGGCATAATGGAAATAGAAAGTTAAAGGGGGATTTCAAAGAGAACAATGAAGTGCTTCAGATATAGCAAAGCAGGCCTTCAAGACTTCTGTGGTTTTTGTTTTTAATTCTTCTACCCTGTTCTTTATCAGTTTTTCCCTTCTTCTCACACTGGGCTGACCTTTCACTCACTGACCACAGAAACGGAAGAGTAGCTCATTTTCACTCTTGCTTTTTTCTTCCCCACAACACTCAGAAGAAGTTGGTATTTGAAGCCCATGTCTCACAGCCCTGTCACCCTTCTGGTCAGCAGAAAAACTCATTTTCAGACATAAAAAGTATTGTTCTTTTATACACACAGTGTGGCTCTCCATATGACTTTGAATCTCCACGTGATTACTGTATTCACTCTGATTCAGCAGGCTTGCACAGAAACTCTGTAACAGACTCAAGCTTTTGACTTGAGCGAGTCAAAGAAGTGGGTACCACCTGCCACGATGGACAACACATCCTGACACAAACATAAAACCTGTATGTGCACCTGACTAACACAGAGAACAAAATAATTTATTTTTGAGAAACAGTAACTCTTTAAAAGGATACCATCCTGGACTGAGACTGGTCTTAACAGTGTTTGTGTTACCTATGTAACAAACCTATCCAGAGCTAGCAGGGTGCATCATCCTGTTAGTACTTCACTGAACAATGCTCATTTTTCTAGCCCTTTTCCCCCCCAAGCTTACTACTTCTTCTTTCTCAAAAAACAGGAATTATCTCTTCTCTAACTTCATTAATAATTTAATATTCAACCACTATCACCCATATATCATTAAAGTATCTACTTATATGTTTTTTTCTAACATAATGTAGTGCATGACATTCACAAAATAGGACCTACTACTGTCTTAACAAGAGAAATACAGTAAAGTTAAAATATAATTACAGGTGTAATATAGCCCTATAACTTGGGAGATGAGAATCATCTAATCTGGAGGAGAATGGTTATGTATTAGCTGTAGTGACTCCTGAATCACTTCCCATTTCATGTTCCACACTATTTCTGGTTTGGTTCAGATCCCACTTTTTTTGAAAGTTATGAAGCACATGACAAAAAATACTGAAAAAATTCTGAAGGTCAGTCAGTCATCATGAATCAGAACTTAATTTTACTACAAGATGATGGATGACTCTCTTCTGAGCTGTTTTTCTGCTCTGTGTTCTTGTTTAAGAAGAAAAATTGAGTGAGATGAGTCAAATTGAGTGAGATGAGTGATATTACACGAATCAACTGACCATTCTTTACAAGGTTCCTCTGTAAAACATCCTCCTTCTACACAGATATACACACAACATTATACTTTCCCATTTCTTTACAGGTTCAAATAAACCTGGCTTATTTATTACAAGCCAACTAAAGGACAACAACCTTTTCACAGGTAACTCTGAAGTACAAAGTAGACTTCTGATTATGCATTATGTCTATGACCCCCGCCACAAATCACCAAAATAACCAATACAGGACTGCTAATAAGTTCTTTGATTTAAATAAGAGATTCTTGAATACTGATATGTCATGCTCAAAATGCTACGGTAACTCTAAAACACACAAAGCTAATAACAAGTATTGAAGGTCAAAGGTGGGTGGCCTTTTCTTTTATTAATATTTATTGCATGTGTTTAGCCAGCCTTTTTAAACTTTGTAGTTAATGGGGTTCTCCACTTTCTACTGTCAAGTAAATGTATTTTATAGCATGGTACTGGATACCAGCCAACAAAAACAAAGCCTGAGACAGTGTGGCTCAGCACTGATGGGGATTGCTAAGTTTCCAACTTGTCAAACATGCACAGCACACTTAAAACCACCATGGCACGTGCTCTAGAGCAGGCAAAAGAAACTGCCATTAAATGCAGCCCTATACATCTTCCAAAACCATAATCGTCCCCAGAATATAGTTCGTTAAAGGCTAAACAAATACAAGCTCTGAACGTGCAAGTAATTTTATTAACCCACCAGCATATAAACCTACTTTATAAGAAATAACAAAAGCAACTTAGGCAGATTTTCAGATTATTTCAGAAACAGGCAATACTTAAAAAACACTGAATTCCTGAACTAAACCCTATTAATTTTTCCCAATGATATAAACCTAAAGAAGTAAAAATTCTAAACAACTATAAAACAAAGGCATCATTGTAGCCTAGGTTTTAACATTGGGAATGGGAATCTTTACCACACAAAAATAATTCATTCTTGAAGAGCATTTATCTTTCAATGCCTCTAACTTTCCTACTGTTTACACTTAGAATAACCCAGGTAGACATCTTGGTCACTGGAAATGCTAAAAATCAAATTCCAGCTCAATGAAGGCCCTACCTCCCTACTCTCCAGGCAAGTAATTTTGCTAATAGCAGGAAAACACGTGTTTTTCAAGCTTGGCCTACCTATGCAGATAGGCTGATACCCATGTCCTGATACTGGATCTTACACTATTACAGAATGGTTGCAGGTGGAAGAGTTCTGGAGATCATCTAATTCAACTGCCCTGCTCCAAGCATGGTCAACTACTAGAACATTATCCAGTTTGGTGTTGAATATTTCTAAGGATGGAGACTCTACAGCCTCTCTGGGCAATCTGTTTCGAGGTATGACCACCTTCACCATAAAACAAGCAAACAAACAAAACCAAACAACCCCAAACCATTTTCTTATGTTTAAGTGGAATTTCCTGTTATTAATTGAGTGCCTATTGCTTCTTGTCCTGTCACTGGGCAACACTGAGCTTTGCTTTATCTGCTTCACCCTCCTGTTCCCCTTCAAGTGTTTATATATAAGACCCATCATGAGCATCCTCTTCTCCACGCTGAGCAATCCTAGCTCTCTCAGCATTTCCTTCTGTGCCAGATACTCCAAGCCTTTAATCACATTTGCAGTCTTTCACTGGACTCATGCTAATATGTTCATCTGTGTCCAACATTAGGAGCTCAGAACTGGACCCAGCACTAACGATGTGTTTCTCCACAGCTGTGTAGAGGGGAGTAATGGCCTCTGTCGACATGCTGGCAACATTATTTTGCTGGATGCAAATGCCCATGGGTTTCTTGCTGCTACTTTCTGTTTCTCTTGAATGGAAAGGGGATTTGCCATTCCACAATCACTTTTTAAGAATAACAAGTTTCATTTTAAGGTTGCGCCCTGCAACAGAACCCAATACAAATAAGGTGGTACTTCAGTTTAAATTGCTCCTGAGTCAGGAGCTCAGGCTGGAAGCAATACCCTAAGCAGTTAAAAGCAAACTACTAGCTCTCACTCCACTTACCAAGGTGGTTTCATGCTTGGTAAGAGAAGTGAAAGAGCAGGGAATTAAACTGTCTACCATTGCTTTATGGACATGTAGCACAAAACACTTGACTAATTATAAGTACTGTTTGTAAGGAAATCCTGTGGATAACTGCTTCAAGACTCAGAAAATACACTGAAACAGAACAACAACAAAAACCTTCAGTTAACTAATTATAGATTCAAACATTCAACACAGAAAGAATTAACCTGTTCCTTACAACATTTAAGTCTGAAAGAAGACAAATCTATGTAGATTCTATGTAGATTCTGAAATCCCAAAAATTCCAGGTCTGAAATTGCAAAAATTCAGCTTTACAAATGGATAATAATGTCTGATTGTAACAAATACGAATGATAAAACGCAGAAAGTATCATCAGATAAACGTCTTCAATATTTGAAAAAACAGTTCTGTAACAGCTGGATGTTTTGGACAGTACATCTTTATAGCATGAAGTCCTGGAAGCCTGTCATAAAAACCCTGAAAATAATTTTATCCATGGAACTGATGCCGTCAGCTTTGTGACAGTAAGATCTGAAAATACAGTACTTAGAAAATACAATTAGTAGTAATGATTTAAAAGCTGTTTGGTACTTTTGCTATTGCAAAAGCATTAAGTTCTTCAAATGAAATCAATCTGAAAAGCCTTTGGCAATGTCTGTTGCATATACAAACACAGTAGCTTGCATTGGAAATACTGGGATAAGATTGTGAAAATATTTTTGTGAAGTCAGGCAAGAAAAATATTAAAAATGCTAACAGAAACATTCCAAATTTGCCTTCTTCATTGTCACTGTGAAAGAAGTTAGAACAGATTCAGTAGTGTCATTGACAGTAGGCCTTCGTAATTATTTTCAGGTAACATTGTCTTGTCATACTGACTTAAACTGAAAATAAATTTTAAAAATTATCTATACAATTTTAAAAACATCTTTTTTTGCAATCTGGATTAAAATGTTTATCTTCTTAAACAACCACCTAATAAAATAAGAACATATTACTGATTGTTTTTAGAAGTAGCCATACCTTCTTCTGAAGTTGCTATACTATTTGAAATAAGAAACATTAATTACCCAAACAACATATAATTTTTTACTTTCTTTTAAAAATAAGCACCATATGCACTTCAGACTCCCAGTTCTTTTAAAACAAACTCAAGTTTTAGAAAATTTTACCCATAATAACTTAAAAGGTTAATAATATGTGGTAATCTTAAACCATAAAACTCATAAATACGTAGAAAGGTGGTAGGCAAAAGTGATGATATCACTATTCCCTCGTGTGCTCTTGCACCTGCATTTCTTCTGAGATATGTGCAGTCCCAGCTCATGTGCAATTCTGGCATGGTTCATAAATTGTCTCAGCCCTAACAGTCTGTCTCAACTGTGTATTTCCCTTTGCA